TTCCAATTTAAGTAACTGGAAAGAAGAATGAAAAAATCAGGGCTTCAACGGGATTCGAACCCGTGACCTCCGCGATACCGGTGGGATGCTCTACCAACGGAGCCTGATGTTTTCAGGCTTCTTCTTTCCAATTGCTTAAATTGGAAAATTTACTGCAATGATCACTCTTAACTTTCATCTACTACCGCAGTTCAAATATGAATTATTTCATATAAACTTCACAGTTCTGCGCGTACCACGCTAGCGAAATGTAACGAGCAAATGCTGAGCGACATAACAAATCACGCGAGTGACTTTTAAATACTCGTAATGTCGATATGTTCGTTGCCCGCATTTCGGTTTCTCTGAGAATACCAGGCCTCGAGAAAAAGTCTCTTATGATAATCACGAGCCTTGTCGACCACAGTGGTGTGATCAAAGTCTATGTCATGGCCAAACTGAACCGTTTTACGTGACCCTTTGCGTGCAAATATTTTATTGTATTATAATTATTGTTATTATCATTATCGTTATCGTTATCGTTATCATTATCATTATTATTTGTACTTCTCACTTGCTTAACCTATATATGTCGCGAGTGTGGCCATGGCCTTCGGTTGAATAAACAGGAAAAGAAAAAAGAAAAAAAAACCGCGAGGAAACTCAAGTTTATTCGCGCGTTTCCAGCTATAGAATGAAACTTCTACGTCCCAGTTTGGGCCTGTGTAGCAGCTCAATGATATGTATGGTTGTCACAGACATCATTTTTTAAAATTCCCTGACTTTTCGCTGATAAAAATAAGATTTCCCTGACCAAATCAATACAAAATCTCGGACCTAGTAGCGGCTTCTGGCCTCAACTTACAGCCTTCATTTCTATTCGTTCATTAAGACTAATAAGCCTTCAATGGTATTAGATTAGCCGAGTTAAATTATTTCAATTTTCCCTGACTCAAAATAAAATTCCCTGACTTTTCTCTGACCTTGAGGAATATTTCTTGCGGGACACAGCTGGCAAGATAGCTCCATCTTGCCCGCTCGGGTAGCCAATCACAGCGCAGGATTTGATTCATCCTGTCCGTGCACGGAGCTACCCATATAATAAGTTTAGTTACCTCATGCGTCTCTGTTTTTTTAATTAATTACTTCATATGTCTATTTGTCTCGGTTTTTTTGTTTTTGTAAGATTCATTTCTGTGTGATTTCAGGAACTATTCTTTGAAAAAAGTCCACAAAGTGATCCTTAAGCCAGACCCCAAGAAAGGCGATCGTTTCTTGCTGAACCTCGAACTCGGTTTACATAACACCAATCAATCATTTCGACTTTCAGAACACGTGTATCAGAATAAGGCAAATGACTCTTTGTGTCTTCCTGAGGGAATGGACTGGAATAACAACGCTACGGTGTATTTCATTCTCCCTGTCAAGGATCAAGGAAACTGGGTACATTATTTTATTAATCAGCTGACTGATGCCAGCTTATTAACCGGTGATACGAACTTTCATGTCATAATTGTTGATTTTGAAAGTAAAGATATTGATATGGGCAAGGCGTTTAACACATCTCTTCTCAGCAGTAGACATACTATTGTTTCATTAACGGGTAAATTCTATAAGACTCTCGCTCTAAACAAGGCCGTTGAACAAGTTCCAAGTGCGCATGACATAGTGTTCCTGTTTGATCTGCATATTGATGTTCCCGCAGACATTATGGACAGTGTTCGAATGGTATGTACTTCATGTATGTGGATCATTAGTATAGGTAATCATACGGTTTCNTTCAGCTTTTTGAAAAACTCACAAGTGCAAATTGATTCCAAATTGAACGAGAAAAACCGTATGATTACTTGTTAATAATATAAACATGAAAAAATTTGCGCGGAGGAAGTGCAGGAAGACCTTTCTTAAAGCCATTTTTTCTCATTCCGGAAAACTTTTTTCAAAGTTTCCGCACAAAATTTTCCTCATCATTTTACGTAATATCATTGGCTTCGAAAATTTCCTATTGTCTTTCAGCCAATCATAATCCAGAATTGCGATGTGTAATTTGCACTGGTGTTACACTTTTTGCACCGGTGTTAAACTTTTTGCACTAGTGTTACACTTAAACTGCACTGCTCTCAGCCAATCAGAATCAAGTAATTTTTTCATGTATATTACTATAGAGCAAATTTATCTTCGCATGGTGTGTCGATTAGAAATAATTAGCCCTTTAACTCCCAACATCTGATTAGGAATTGTCCCTTCTAGCTTCCACACATTTCCTTGTAAATTAGTTTAGAGAATATGGGTTTATATCAAGAAAACACGCTTAAGCTGAGTAGTTTATCTATTCTTATCACCTGTTTGCTGGACATTGTATTGATATTGTAAAGAGAATTTACGCGACTTGTTTCTCTTCTTGAACTGACGGGCAAAACTTCCTCCAATCAATGCCAAAATTGATGTCATTAGAGCGGTTTTCAATTGAGTGTCGTAAACCAAAACCAAACCAATAACTTACCAATTAGACTACTCAGCCAATCTCAAATCGTAGTAAACCCAAAACGAAAGTCATTGCCTGGTTACTTTCGACACTCAATTAAAAACCCCTCTAGAGCGTAGAAGCAAACCATCTAAGGTTGACGCGATCCTCCCTCCCGTTTTCAATTTAGTGTAGAAAGTAATCAGGCTATGACGTCAAATGACAAGTTGCCGCTGGAAACCGAGCCAGTTGCACGTGACAACAACACAAGTTGAACTTTAAATCCTGGTCACCAAACTTTCGCCGCGCCTTACGCAACTAATAATCGTAGTAGTAGTTGATGCACAAGACGATGATGGGTGCTGTGTACTAAGGCCATGGTATTTTCTCTCACTGTTTTCTATAATTCTAACCAAAAACGCAACTATTTCTTAGAACACCATTGCAGGTCGCATGGTTTATTTCCCTGTAGTGGGCCGTTTGGCCTGTGATAGCTATTCCACGGAACATCGAGGCTTTCGGCAATTAGATGGCTATGGAATTCTGTCGATTTATAAAGCAGACTGGGACAGATTTGGTGGTGAGTGGAACTTGTCTCCGTCCATAATATATGACGTCACTCCTACTGAATATTTTTGTGGGTGCTGGTGGACAAGCTTACTTTTATGGACCACAAGAGATATGGAGGAATTTAGCCCCGGAGGGGCGGGGGGGGGCTCTCATATTTAAAGGTCGGGGATGTTCGTCGTCTCGCTTAGGGGTGTAAATCAAAGTTTTTGGTCTCATTTAGGGTGTTTAGGACAAAACTCCACTATTTTAGCTGTCAGAGTATCTTAAAGGGTTCACTCGAAGAAATGACAGTAAAAACAACGCTCTCATTTCCGATTTTAAGCTCGATTTCCGCCGCTCTCCCGAGTCCGGTCTACTAGCGCGGGCTCCTTTCCCGAACAGCGGCTGATAATGGAGCCTACTCCGTTTTCAGTGTTATCCTTTAGGGATCTTTCAGGCGTCAAATAAAGCTCGAGCCACGCCCAGTGTGGACTCCTATAGGGGTTCAATTCAAATTTTCCGACGAGCATCCCCGACCTTTTCATAACGGAGTCCCCCTGAGGGCATTTAATCATGGATGTAGCACACTTTATAGACTGCAGTATAATAAACACTGATACAGTAACACTAAACCAGTGGCTTCCTATTTCCACTGAATTTCCCTTTCCCTTTCTTTGTTTCTCTCAATCACTGTCTCTTTACATCGCTAGGAATGAATACAAAAGACTTCCAACACAAGTGGGGCGGGGAAGACTGGGATCTACTAGACCGCGTACTTATGTTACCGATAGAGGTGGAACGAATCAGACATCCGGGACTTTATCATCATCATCACTCCAAGCAAAAAATGTGGAATTAGAGTGTGATAATCTTGGATACTGAAGAAGACGTTGACAACGCGATTCACAGCTTCATCCCGTGATACTGCAGATTCTAAGTATCGTGTTTGCTTTGGCCTAGTTTGGCATACACTACGCCTTCACTACATGAAAAAACGACAACTTTAAAGTTCAAAAGCCAAGGCAACTATAGTGATCCATTGTGTGGTACACTGCCTTCACTAAAACGGCATGCAACCAAAAGACTTTGGAAAATGATGGCACCATGCATGGTCCCATGAAGCATTTTGCTCTAACGAGACGCAGTTCCTGCACTGCTGAAATCTAGTGTAATTTATAAAATAGCTGAGATACTACGCGCGCTCTCATTGGTCGATAGGTGTGTTTAGATGAGAGTATGTAAACAAGATTGTGACGTTTCAGATTCGCGCGTATTTTTGAGAATTATTTTACAAAAGCAATTGCGCACTTTTTCCATGTTTACATAGCCTCATCTAAACACTCGGGGGTTGGGAGAAATCTCGAACGTTATGCAAACCCTTGAATACGTCTCGGATTTGCATAATTATCTCGAATTCTCCCAACTCTCCTCGTGTTTAGATGAGGCTATGTAAACACGGAAAAAGTGCTCTATTGCTTAACTATAAACTTTTTGTTGTGGCTGTTTACAACAATACATGGGTAAAACAGACCGGTCGTTAGCTCTTAGGTTTCTCAAACAAGAAACCAGGCCATGACTGTAAAAACACCTCAGCAATTGTAACAGCTTTCATAAAGTAGTTATCTTGTACAAATGACCTGCCGGGAATTGCTACAAATCAAAGCCTCTGGAGAGTTAGATCTTCTTCTGTGATTACATCATATTATATCATTTCTTGTTTGTGCTCCTCATTAGCCTTGATATATAAGCTGTCTACTTGGCTCAGTATGCCTCTGAAATAGGCCGAAAGATTGGAAACCTTTCCTCATTGGTAACAAACCAAAAATTTTCATCAATTATTTTCCTTTAAACTGATTTCTAATTCGCGTCCCACGGGTTAGAGTTTTTAGCTCTATGGGCTTTAGGCTCATTTGCAGACAGCTTTTCGAGTATCTGATTGATTTGGGGCACTCCTTTTTGGAGAAATTTGCCCTTGCAATTATTCTCATTTAGCAGACATGATTGTGCATGATTATGAAAGTGACTCTGCGATGTCGAAGATGATAGGCAGCGTCCACACTACTTCGGAGGAATTTGAAAACGGAACTTTATTTCTACGGTTAGGACTACCGTCCACACTAATCCCTGACGAAAATGGAGCTTTTCAAAAACTAAAGGAATTTCAAAACGCCGTCTTTGCGCTTTAGTGCACGGCACGAAAAATTGGATTTACTCTAAATTTGATCCTGATCAAAGTCGAAGTCAAATATGATCATAGCTTTGATCCAAACTTTGACG